ACGAGTCACGACACAGAAACAAGATGTGGGGTACACTGTGATCTAAGGCCTAGATGATTCAGTTATCTAAAATAATGTTTTATTTGTTTAAAATAGTTTTATGAATACCTACTAAGGGTACATATTGATCGTTATTCTAATACGTAGATACAATGTACAATGATCAGATTGAGATAATTGATCTTTATGATTTCTCGTGGGGGAGGACATTTAAAATCTTAACCATCACATATTTGAATTCCACAGTTGATGGTTTTTGACCACATTTACCTTATGTGACATAGAACGTTAGACGCTCTTCTTCCTGTCAGGCCGTGCCCGTGTCTATTATCCCCTCTGTGTTTCTCCTTCCCCGTCCTCTGGTTCCTGCTGCTCTTTTCCCTGCTCCTGTGAGATGCCAGTGTTCACCTATGTGTTAGTCGTCTTCCTGTTGTGACAGAACACCTGGGAATAACCGCTGACTGGAGGGAAGGCTGTCTGGGCCTGCGGGGAAGCAGAGCATCATGGCGGACTGACATGGCTGCAGGAAGCTGCTCTCCTCTGGCAGCCAAGAGGCAAAGACGGAAGGAGGCAGACAGCCTGCTCCTCTGCTTCCTGCGCCTCCTGACATCTTCCCTGGCTGGGCCTCTGTGCTATCGGACGGTGCCACCCAAGCCCGGGGGACATCAGCCCCTGCCCTGAGTTTGCTGTCCCTCATGCCCATCATCTGCAGCAACCTCCTCACAGACACCCTAAGAAGCGTGCTTCACTAATTTCCCAAGGGTTTCTCAACCGGTATGACTCACAACTCAGGATGTGTGGCACTTATCTCTTTGCGCCTGATGTCTTCCACTTAATGTGTACTAGTTCCTCGCGCATTACTGCAAACGCTGGGGTTTCATTCTTTTATTGCTGGATAGAATTCATTGTTTATATACCCCATGGTTACTTTATCCCTCCACCTGCTGGTGGAAAAAACTCACTTGAAATGCTTACTATGGCGCCTAGTGCATTGAGACTTTCCACGGGGGCTCTCTTACAGTTAGTGTGACACAAACACCAGTGGTGGAATTATGCCATCTGACTTCTAGCCAACTGCCAACTCTTAACTTTTGGTTCTGTGAAATAAATTTGATTTACACACGCTTATTGCTAGGCAGGAAAGATTAAAGAGGCCTGTTCCCCTACTTCAAAATATTTTTGGCCAAAGTCTTATAGTTGATAATATTCTAATAGTCGTTGATTTACTGCAAATCATCTCATTACAGGCAATTACATAGACTATAAATGAATATTACACTATGAGTTTTGTCCTCTGTGTGTTGTCCAAATTCTTTCAAAAACACGTGTTTCTAGATACCTAGTGATATAACTAGTAGTAACTTCTCAGTCTGTAGCTGGTAGCTGTCTCTCCTGTTGTGCTGCTCGGATGACACAGATGGTGCAACTTATAGTTTGTGGAAGAGAAATGTAAGTAAACCATCATTTCGGTGTGAAGGGATAGGAGAAAGACCAAAGCATTAATAGAGAGGAGAGGGATGGCTGCCCCAAAGAAATGCGTGAGGGAAAAAGAATCTCCATTGTTGTAGATAAATTTTAAATTGAAGAAAAACGAGTGCATTCTTTAGCAACTATTAGAATGCAGCATTGACCAACGTGAAAATTACGACCTAAAGTTTATGTTATTTGTATTTTCTTTTCTGTTTTCCTTTTTCTTCTCATGTAAGAGGAAAAAATTACTTTTTTTAAGCTAAAATTTTTAGGATATCATTAAACAATAGCACACTGGGCAATTAAATTCATTTTTTTCCTTTCTGTTTTAAAAAATTCTGAAAGGAGAAATTGCTCAACTATAAACCAGTGGAGATAAGTAGAGACTGGCCAAAAAATACTTCTAACTAGAGTTTGTTCCAAAAATGATCATGAAACATGTCAAGCTGTTCTAAATTTTAAAACATTTACTACAGAATGTAGAACAGGAAAATGACCTTTGCTGTCCCAATATCAAAACAGTTGAATACTGTTAAAAAGGAAAGCAAAACGCTACATGGAAACAGTATTTTACACGGCTTGACTCTCCTATTGATAATTAAATATGTGATCCTGGCAAGCACTGCGTACTTGGGAAGGTCACATTAGATACTTCACAGCATGTGAAGTGTGAGAAAAATAATTTTCAAAAGTCCTGATATGGCCAGGCATGGTGGGTCACGCCTGTAATCCCAGCACTCAGGAGGCTGAGTCAGGAGGATCGTTGCGAGTTTGAGACCAGCCTGGGCTACAAAGTGAGCTCAACTGCATAGAGGGACACTGTCTCCAAAAAAAAAAATAAAAAATCCTGTATGTCTTTTATATTTAAATTTTTAATCTTTTCTTGAATCAATTATACTTTACATGAGATAAAGTTCAACAAAACATAGTTTTTATCTGTACAAAGTGAGAATTTTGTGATCATTCAGATACTAAAATTCTTTATTTCTTAAAGTTAATATGTGTACAAATGCACAAGTGCTAAAGTCAACAACTTTTGTCCAACGTGAACATGTATGCAAATATATACTAATTACCGATTAGCAATTTAAAATTTGCTTATTTTAATAAATCAATAAAAAGAAAAGATTATGTGTATATATTCATATATACATATATACACAAGATAGGTAACTATACTACTAATCTCTGTTAGTTTATCAAAAAGAATGGTTTGTGCTTTCATTCAATTGTTTGACATTTTTTCATGCTTATATCTTATAATATGAACAACTACTTTGAAGATAACAATATGCAATACATTAACCAGTGTTAATCTCCTATTATTTTGTTTTGAAATTCTGTGTCATCATTTTTACTCATTTTTTTTTGTTTTTAAAATTAAAAAAATCATAATAAAGTCATGGAGGAGTTATGGAGTAATCTCATGGAATGTGAATGGCAAAACTCCTAACTGAGTTTTTAAACTTTGTGTTATTTACTATTAATGATGTTGAGTTTATCCTGAGGGTGCAAACACCGTTTCTCTATTGACCTAATACTATGATTTGTCAGTCCAATCAGAACAGTCAATAATATTTAAAATGTATTTCTTATTTTTCAAGTGCATCTTGTTTGTTTTACAATAGACATTTCTCCTTTAAGTTAATAAGGATTGTCTACCTGAAATTAACAGTCAACATTATTTTAAAAGTTATAGTACTAAAAATATTACCGGTAAAGTCAGAAAAAATACAAATATGTTTCCATCACCACGGTACTACAACAATGAATTTCTGGGCAGAAATTCTGTCCAGTGAAGTAGAAGGGGACATCCAGCAATATGATCAGAAAATACATAGTAAAAAGTATGGATCAAAAGTTGTTCTACAAGTATGAAAAAAACCTTTATATCTTGAAAGTCAATCTTTATATCTTTAAAGGACATTGAATGTGAATGATAAAATGAACAATTTTCCCCAAGAATAACTATATATAACCTGGAAATAGGTGAAAAATATTTGGCTCTACTAATAATCAAAGACACACATAATAAAATCATGATTAATCTATTTTCTAAAATCAAAATAGTGAAGAGCTAGCAATCATAGCTTTAAGTATGGGGAGAACATTACAAGACAGACATTCTCAGATATTGTTGGTGGAGATATAATTGAGTTTAATTTTTCTAGAAGGAATTTGACCTTTTTAAAAAGAAGAATCCTTTAAAATGTTTATAAGATTTAATACTATGATTTTATCTCATAATTTTCTTAATGCAATACTTACGTACATAACCACTCCCCCAAGAAAATAAAAGTATAGGAAATCTAAATGCACAATCATAACCACATGTTGGACTAACTTCTTTTATGAAAAGTATAAGAGATAATGCAGTCAAGCACATGACATTTAATAATCCAGAATGTGTAGTAAGATGGGATACATACACATTCTCAATTTTGAAAAGAAAAAGGTACATACACACATTTTAGAAGACATTGCTGTATATGAATATTCTTGCTGTTTACCATCAGATCATCCTCTATGAGTCTTGTATTATGTAAACAAGCATAGTTACTGGCTCTGCAGCATACCAACTAGCATGTGAGTTACAGATGCCAGTCATGATCCGTGACCAATCCCCGTGCCCTCTATGAAAGCCCATTGGTGATTGGTCATTGCGCATCCCTGTTGTACTTATTCATAGGCTCTGAAATGCGTGGTTGTATTTCCTACTGGCCAGTGACAAATGACACTTTACAGACACGGACACTCAGGGAAAGAGAACTGGCACACAAAGCTGAAAGTCCCATGCAGAAAACAATAGAAGTGAAATCCAAGTAGAACATAAATGCAGAAAAAAAAAAAAACAAAAAAAACCAACCCACAAAACAAGTAGTTAGGGGCTGCTGCCCTGTGAAAGGCTAGGGATGAGCCCCAGCTTCTTAGGGAAGACAGACTTACAGCAAGTGAGGAACATGGGTGCCATCTGAGGATGAGGGGAAGACACCCCAGAGCAGGTGCTGCTAGCCAAAACGTCAGGGTGGAGGAATCCTCAAGGGTGTTGTACCACAGGAAACACAAAGGTCCCGAAGTAGAAGCTGAGCCAGATTTAGGAATGAGCCTGCCGATTCTCCCGGGCAGAGAAACATGCTCAGCTAGTGTGAGCCGGTTAGGGTGCCTGCAAGGTGAGCTCAGCTCCAAGCACGGTGCAGGAGATTTCTGCAGAGAAATAAAGGCAATCCCGTTCTCCAAGTCTGCGGTGTTTTAGGGTATAGAGTGCTAAACTAACATTTTGCTATTTTCATTTCCTTTACTGTGATGAGAGAATAGGGAGTTTTTAGTGTTTCATCAAGGTTTTAAAGGTCATGGAGCACTCATGCCAATATAATGTCTTTTTTTTTCTCTGATGTATAAAGCCTTTTTTTTTCAAAATAAAAGGATCACTGGATTTTAATTCATGAGTATCAACTTTAGTGAAGTAAATGGCTTACGAATTTTAAAAAGCCACAGCTTGATATTGTTCTGACATCACCTTATCGCCCTAGTGTGATCGATGCTTGCCTCTGTACAACGACAAGCCTTTCCGAGCAGGGGATGAAGCTCACGCGTTCGCCTGTAAACCTTGTCAGTGCCATGGCCACGCCACAAGCTGCCACTACAACGCCTCGCTGGACCCATTTCCCCTGGAGCATGGCCGAGGGGGCGGAGGGGTGTGCGACGCCTGCCAGCACCACACCGCAGGTGAGGGGCAGAGGGCTGCTGCCGGCCTCCACCTCTGAGGCACCTCGGTCAGCTCCATCGTACTCAAATACATGTTTCAAACCACTGCTTTCTAACACCAAAGCTGGTACAGCTGAATCTTCCCAATGACATGTCTTTATGTAGGTTTTAGGGAAGCATTGTAGTCCTCAAGAGTATCTTTTCAGGAAGAGATTTCTTCTGAAGGTTTACACTGTCTGACCAAACCACAAAGGAATACTTCGTGTGTGTGTGTGTGTGTGTGTGTGTGTGTGTGTGTGTGTGTGTTACAAAGGAATACTTAGTGTGTGTATGCATGCATCTGTGTGTGTATATGGATGTATTTGTGTGTATATGCATACACTTTGTGTGTGTATATCCATCCATGTGTGTGTATGGATGTACTCGTGTGTACATGTGGATGCATCTGTGTGTGTATATGGATGTATTCGTGTGTTATATGGATGTACTCATGTGTGTACGTGGATGCATCTGTGTGTGTATGTATGCATCTATGTGTGTACACGCGTCCTCTTAAAACGAGTTTCCTCAGTGTCTACTTATAGCTGCTTCCTTGCACAGGTGTGTTTATGTTTTCATTCAGATTCAGTGTGGAAACTGATAATCTGGGTTTGCTCTCTGAAAACACTAGTTAAAGGCAGAAAATGAGAAAGTCCTTTTCTAAAGCTACAGAGCATTGTAACTAGTATTTAAAATCATTATTGTCTGAAGGGCAGTATGTTGAAAGCAGAATCAAACAACATGTGAAGTAATATTGAGATACTGTTAAATAAGACAAATTACCCAAGAGTGATTTAGGATGGAAGCATGAGCGTTTTGGTCCACAGGATGTAGGAAGGGGATGCGGGGTCCGTGGTGTAGGAAGACACTAGTGCCAGCCGTTGGGGTCAGAGACGAGGATGAGGGGCGGTGCTGCTTTACACACGCCCCAGTGTGCTTCTGAGAGGCAGGACAGAGCTCTCTGGTGACACTTGGTGACGTTCTGAAACTCAGCCACCCTGGGGATGCCTTTCATGAAAGCCTCTACCATGCTAGGAATGCCTCTCACCACCCACATGCCTTGGGGACACCTTTTGATTGTTATAGTTCACAGGTGTTCACTTATTCCTAGCATCATTTGATGAAGGTTTGTGGTAGCCAAAGACTGAAGGAGGCTCTGGGGAAAACACACAATGAGCACTGTGTTTTCTTGCTGTGATACTCCTTAGCAGTTAGCATAGTGCTTGGGATTTAGCGATATTTTACTAAATATGAAGTTGAATGATAAAGAGTTTCTAGGTTGGAGATACAAATTTGAGGGTTGTCAACACATATAAATAGAATCATTTTACAAATATAGCTTCCTGTAGATGTTTATTAACACATAACCATCAGAGTTTAATTTTCACTTGTTTCTAGTCTTTTCTTCTTCTCAGATAAGTAGTATTACCTTATTTCCATTCTCAAAATTTCCCTTCCAAAAAACTGCTTGGTTTTAACATACATTTGCATGAACATAATTTTTGTGTGACTTTAGCAGGAGCCTCTCCTCATGTTTAAAATAATTTTTGAACTTTCTTTACATGCTTACTTTTTTAGTTTAGTAGTACAGATGTGAAGTACTTAATGTTTAAATTCCTTGGGGGAAGTTGGTAGCATATTTTGTCAATTTGAGCAGAAAGCATAATGTTTAAAGGGAAGGCTGATAGCTTATATCAGGGATCTCATATATTCCTCACATTGCTATAGAAACTCCTTGTGTGTGGGTTTTGTTCTTACATAAGAAGGGAACAAGAAATTCCAATAATTGTACTGATAGGAATTCCCCAACATGTCTAATAAGTCAGGCTATTCTAATATTTAATATGAAAATTACTTGAATAAAGAACTTCTGCTTTGATATTTGAAATAAAAAATAATGGTCCCTAACAGAAGCATTTGCTTCTAATCACGTTGAATATAGAGGAATCCATTGTACTAAGCGCATCCTCTGATTTTTACAAGATTTAGTTTTGGAATATTTCTAATACTACTAGGTTATTAGTTTTGTAAGTATCATCTATGACCTGTGTAGAAATTTCTCATATTTGATTTATGTGAAGAACTTGGCCCTTAAATAAGGTTTTAAGTTAAGATACATTTAAAAAATGTATGGGCCCCTCCAAAGCGTAGCGTCTGAGTGGAGTGGTACTCCATAGCAGATGGGAGTTTAATGAAGTAAAGCGCGGTTTGTGACAGGTTCATTGTTTCATATGCTCTGGATCACTAAATTGGCAGGTAGAGATGAAAGGTGCATTAAAACGGACGTCCCGAAAATTATGGAATTTCCTCAAAGGAATATAGTCTTTAATTCTGAATTATGCGGCTGATTTTAATGAATTGGAAGTCATAATGCATAACCTTTCCCCGACACAGGAAGGAACTGTGAGCTGTGTGAGGATTACTTTTTTCGACAAGTTGGTGCAGACCCTTCAGCCGTGGACATTTGCAAACCCTGCCATTGCGATGGAGCTGGCACCAGGAACGGCAGCCTCCTCTGTGACCAGGTTGGTTCTCGCAGTGAGAGTAAGTAACTCCGCTCTTGGCCAGGAGCAAGCTTGAGGGTGCTTGGCATGTGCTCTTGAAGCCTGCGTTTTCCAGGTCTGTTGTGTGTTTGCGCTGCAGTGAGATGGCCTCTTCCCAGGGAGTCCTGCCCAGTGTTTATGATGAGCGTGGCTATAATACCACAGAGGTCATCCCCACCACTCAGCCAGGGGAATTCTAGGTCAGTGATTCCAAGTGTGAAAAGAAGCCAGAGGATGGGGCTTCCCAGTAAACTGTAAAGCTAACTGAGTATAAATCTTAGGATTATTGGTGAAGTTAATATTAATAAATAAGGACAGTTTGAAACACAAGTTCCATAAAGATGGCATAGCAAAAGTCAGCTCTGAGAAGATCCAAATGCAAATAATTTGACAAATGTTTTTAAATTTCTTTTTCCAGCTTGTCTTTCAACTCACAAATACAATGCATTCTTTATATAGATTTTAAATATTTTGATCCCTGCACCATAAGTATTCTGACCTAGATGAATGTAGATTCTAGCTAATCTTGGCCCATCTATCTCACTGTATCTCTTCCTCCCAAAATCTCTCCTTTCCTCTCTCCTCTTTCTCATTCATTTCTTTCCTTCCTTCTTCAGATTTGAAGATATACGGAAAGACATTTCATTTTAAAAATACTTATTGGTGCTTATTAATTTTTTAAAGTATTGAGCTTCAATGTAATGTTTTCATATATACCTATAATGTATTTTGATTGTATCCATCCCTGTGACCCCCACTTACCCCCCATTCCTGGATACCCTTCTTCTTGTTTAATAACACTGCACTAATCTCTCTTCTACTTTCACGTTAGTTTTAGTTACAAATTTTAGGGAATGCACAAGATGCTTGATTTTATGAGTTTGGCCGATTTTGCTTATAATCTCCAATTCCATCCATTTTCCTGAGAAGTGTGTAATTTTTGCTCTTTGTGGCTGATCCATACTGCATTATGGATATATATCCCACTTTCTTTATCCATTCACCCATTATTTGACATCTAAGCCGGTTCGTATCTTTGCAATGGCGAACTGTGTTACAATGAACATGAGTGTTAGGTATCCCTGCAGTAAGTATACTGACCTGCCTTCCTTTGGGTATGCTGGAGGGGTGGCATACCTGGGTCACATGAATTCCTTTGTGGTTTCTTGAGGGACCTCCACCCTGGTTCCCATAGGAGCTGGTCCTAATGTGCATTCCACCCAGTGGCGTACAAGGACCATTTTCCCCCAGAATTCTTACAAGCTTTACGTGGTTGTTGTGATCTTTATGACATAGAATCTCAATGTAGTTTTAATGTTCATTTCCTCTGTGGCCAAAGATGTTGAACACTTTTTCATGTTCTTACTGGCCACTGGTACTTCTTTTGAGCAGTGCCTGTTCTCATTTGCCCTTTTATTGATTGGAGATTTGATTTTTGATTTTTCCTCTATTCTTGACATATTCTAGTATTTCTGTCATCGAGTAGCTGGCAAAGATTTTCTCCCATTCCATTGGCTGTCTCTTCACTCGGCTGGTTATTTGCTGTGCAGAGGCTTTTTAAGTTGGTGTTGTTTCATTCATTGATCAGAAGCTTCATTTTTAAAATAGGTTTTCATTAATGGAAGCTCCAATCTGTTCTGAGTTAAAATTATGAGAATGGACAAAGGAAAAATGTATGTCAAACAACCAAACCAAGGACTCTGTTAATGTTAAACAGTTGCCTGTTCTGTTATAAATAATCAAAAGAACAGTCACTGTGAGCATAAACCACAATCTAAGGCATAGAACATGTCTTAAAAGGTTCAGGGTCAATATTATAAACTTAAGATAAAATGCTTGTCATGTGGCTTTTGTGTAATAAAATTGTAATGTAACACACAGCTGTAAACTAGGACAAAGTACAGATTTAAAGGTCTTCAAAATCACCATGGTATGTTGGCAAGAAAGTATCATATGTTTTATTGAGGAGTTGAAGGGTAAAAGAAAAATTAACAGAGACAGTTCCTACTATTTTCACAGTATGATACTTAGGGCCTATTTTCTCAGAAAGTCTTAGTAAATTTTCTGTCTTAGTGAAGCCTGACACCTTTATAGGTCTCATGTTTACACATCTCTTGTGAATTGTCAGTGCAATCAGTCTTTGCTTGTCACGAAGCCTCAACTCAAATACTGATAAATATTTTGACAAAATCTTCACTGACTTCCCCACCACAAAACATGCTCCAGTCAATACCTTTACCTTTCCCCACTGTCATTTTTATTACGGTCTTTATGCAATTAATTTGCTTGTTTAGTTCTTTTCTTTCTCTCCATCCAGCACACATAGAGGGGGTTCAGGCATATAACGGCTCCCAATAAATATTTGTTAAAAAATGTTCAATAAATGGAGATTCTATCTGAGCACTGATCTCGTAGGTTACTTTTGAAGTTGGTTTTTGTTGAGACATAGTATATGTGTATCTGTAGGGATACAGCATAGTAATCTGACATGTGTACAATTGCTATAATCAAACTGGAGTAAGAAGCATCTCCATCTCTTTTAATATAATGTTGCTTTTCTAGTCATATTACATAATTAACTGTATTGCTCAGGAGTTACCCTGTTGTTCTCTAGAAAAATAAGAACTAGCTCTTCCTCTCTGTGTTCTGTGCCCTATGACGCTACTAACCCCTTCCTGCTCTTTGGGGACCACTATTCTAGGTCATTCTTCTGAGACGCATTTTTCAGTCTCTACAGAAGAGGAAGAGCATGTGCTTCATGTCTTTCCATGCCTGGCTTATCTCACTTAACATCACGTTTAGTTTCTTCCATGCTGGTGCAAATGAGAGGCTTCTGTCTTCGTTGTAAGGAGTCCTCCACTGTGTATACAACACAGCTTCTGCACGTGTCACTGATGGACATCTGGTTGATTCCATATTTTAGCTGTTGTGTTGTTTTCTTTTCAGTGCTGTGGATGGAGCCCAGTCCTTGGCACATATTAGCATTTTCTCTACCATTGAGCTACAGCCTCGGACTTGCATATTTTGGCTGTTATGAACAGTGCTGCAGGAAGCATAGGTGTACACACACACCTTCAATGTGCTGATTCATTTCTTTCTGATGTATACACAGGAGTGAGAGAGCTGGAATGCATGGTAGTTTTATTTTTAATATTTTGTAGAACCTCTCTTCTGTTTTTTATGACTACTAATTTACAGTCCTGTCAGCATTATGTGAGTTCATTCCTCATTGCTTAGTTATCTACTGTTACACTTTTTATAGTTATTTAACCTTTCTAGTTGGGATGAAATAGGATCTTATTATAGTTTTGATTTGCATTTCTCTGATAAGGTGATAACAAACATGTTTTCACAAAACAGTTGACCGTTTGTGTGTCTTCTTTTGAGACATGTCTATTTAGCTATGTATGCTGTTTTAAGTTAGATTATATTTTTGGTGTTCAGCTTTTGGAGTTTCTCAAATATTCTTGAGATAAAATAATCTGCAAATATTTTTGCCATTTTTCCTTTAATTCTGTTATTTCTGTTGCTGTACAGAAACGTATCAGGTTGATAAAATGCCAGTTGTCTATCTTTAGGATTTTTTTGGCCTCTGTTTTTGGATTCCTACCTAAAAAAATTATTGGTTGTGCTCATATATGGTTTACCTTACCTTTTGTTCTAGCAGTTTCAGAATGTTAAGTGTTATTTTTAGGTGACTGATCCATGTTGCATTGATTTTTGTGTCCAGTAAGAGGATCCAGTTTTGTTTTTCTGTATCTGTATATCTAATTTCACCAGTATTATTTATTGAAAGCCTGTGCTTCTGTTGAAAATCAGTTGACTGTATGACTGTGGATGAATTTCCAGGCTCTCTATTGTGTTCACTTGGTCTGTTTTTCTCTTTGTATGTCTGTCTCATGCCGCAGTCTTTACTACAGTTTTGAAGTCAGTTGTGATGGCTCCAGCTTTATTGTTTTTGCTCAGGATTGATGTGGCTATTATTGATATTTTGTAGCCCCCACATCAATTTCAGTATTTTTAAAACTGTGTGAAGAAAGTTATTGGTATTTTGGTTTAGTGGGAATTACACTGAAACTTTGAAATCTTTTTGTAGATCATTTTAACAATATTAATTTTTCTATTTCCTGAACTTAAGATATTGATCTGTGTGTGTGTGTGTGTGTGTGTGTGTGTGTGTGTGTATTCTATTGTTTCTTTCATTAGTGTTTTATGATTTTCATTGTAAAGATCTTTCCCTTTCTTGGGTAACATTATTCCTGAATATTTTAATTTTCATAGCTATTATGAATTGGATTGCTTTATAAGTTTGGTTTTAACTTTGTTATTAAAGTACTATTATTTTTTATATTGGTTTTATTCCTGCAATTTTACTTTGTTTTTCAGTTCTAGTAGTTTTGTCAATCGGTAATTTAGTAGCAGGTTTTTTTTTTCTTTCAGTGATTTGAATGTATCATCTCATTTTCTTCAGGCCTGTAAAGTTGCTGCTGAGAAATCTGCTATTAGCTTTATGAGTACTCCCTTGTAGGTGAATTACTGTTTTTCTTGTGCTGTTTTTAGAATTTTCTCTTTGTCATGTACAACTGACATTTTCACTTTAATAAGACGTGGCAAACAGTTGGGTTTTTTGAGTTTGCTGCACACGAATATCCATATTTCAGTCAAAACTGGGAAATTTTAGCTATTATTTCATGAAATAGGTTTTCAATGATTTTTCATATTTTCTTTAGCTTCTAAGTTTACCATATTTCTTTACTTGATAGTGACACATACAGTTCATAGGTTATCTTCATTCCTTTTTTTCCTTTTTCCTTTTCATCTGAGTTAATTCAAAGATCACTTCTCAAGTTCATAAATACATTATACTACTTATTATATTGTAGAACTTTTTTATTGTATTTTTATATGACTGCTCTAATTTTTAGTCCTAAGATTATTGATTAATTTTTTGATGGCATCTCTATTTGGTAAGTTTTTCACTC